GGGCTGCTGCTGATGTCAACAGTTGCATTGTCTTTTTGTAGTCTGTAGTAGCTGTGTAGAAGTAGGCTGGGCGCTGAGCGCCAAGTGTGAGTGTACGGGAACTGGACTGTTGTGTTGAGAGGAGAGAGTGTGCTCTCCACGGACATTGGTTTTCAGTGCTACGAAACTCCATTGGTGTATTATTGGTGCAAGGCTGCTATGTGGACACGGTGTGACTATTTGACTTGCAATGTGATGGTGTGATCTGGGTTTGTCATCTCGCTCTTGCTTATTTTCCTTGCAGATGAATCAACAACTCTGAAAATTTGAGGTCCGTAGATTTTGTTGTGATCTTCATTGGAAAATTATATAAAAAAATAAAAAAAGTCATTTTAACCGCGAAATAAATCGCGGGGGCAATTGAACGCATTTTCTAATTTTGTCACTCCGCCAGTTCCCCCCACTTTGCTACCAGTAACCCTCATGGACCTGTGCTACCGGTTCCCCCTAATTTATGACGGCGGGGGTAGTGGTGGTTTTAACAGCCAGTACACGGCCCCGGCCTTGCAGAAAATTGCGGGTTGTCAACTCTGAACTTTTCGGGGCCTGGGGCTACTGGACGGCAATGGCTGGCGGCGGGACGCCGCTGGTGGCTCCGAAAAGCGCGACCCGCAGTGCAGCGCCTCCAGGCCGGGGTGTGCTGGTGGTTTAATGAATGTTCCGAAGAATGGGACCTTCACAAGTTAATTCTGTTGTGAAGCATCAATTTGGAATGTTGGGTTTCAGATCTCATGGTGCCTGACTTGTGTGGTTGCGTTTTGAGGCCGGGATAAGGCAATTCACCACCTGTGGGGCGGTAGTGGTGGGCAGTGGTGGCTGTGTGTTGGCTCCTCAAGGGCTGGCTACTGTCGTTTTTGAAGTTGAGAGGATGATTTGGAGGATTTTCTGTGAGGAATTCTTGATGATCGTGTCATTTCTGCTGGTGGTCTGCTGTTTTTTTTGCAGGACGTTAGGAAGCCATATCGGGTCGCCTGCTCAGCTTCCACCCCACTCACAGCGGTCATCAATCTCTCCTCCGACCCAGCTCTTCACTCCTCTCTCACAGTCGACCTGCATGGCGCAACAATCGCTGTTGCATTCTTCTTCTCTTGCGGCACAACATGCTGCGTCCTCCTCGCTTCTACATCAGTCTTCAATGCCCGCCTCGTTGCTGCACCAAGGCTCATCTCTTCAGCAGCCGCTCATGCAGCATCCGGACTCCAAATGCCTGCCGCACCAAATGTCCATTCAACCAGCACCATTGCTCTTGCCACAATTGCAGTCGCTGCCGACGCGTCACCTGTCACTGCCTTTGCACACCCAACTCAGCACGTCAAGGCGGAGGAGTATTGGTTGTGTCATCGATCAGCTGACAGTGCGTTCACTGGAGGACCGAGCAAGTGTGAACGTGGTCATGTGGATAATGCTGCGCAACACCAGACCTATTGGCCACCATGTAAGTTCCTCTCCCATTCCCATCCTTCCTGTTCAATCCTCAACTCTGTAAATCCATGTATGATCTGGCTACTATGACACCATGTACAAGGCTCTCCTGCTCCCATATTTCTTCACCTTTGGTTGCGTTATAGGCTCGTACCATACTTGCAACCGCACGAACCGCACCCGCACAGACCGGATCCGTGCAGAGATCCGTACGGAGGGTGCTCGATCTCCGCACATTCCGCACCCGCACAGACCGGATCCGTGCGGAGATCTGTGCGGGGGGTGGCCGTGCGGAATTTTTTATTTTTTTTTATTTTTTTATAGGGGGGTCTGAGGGGTCCGAGAGGTGTTGCCTGTGCTGATATGAGGCGGAGGAGAAGGAGGAGGAGAAGGAGGAGGAGGAGGAGGAGGAGGAGGAGAAGGAGGAGGAGGAGGAGACGAAACGGAGAGATGGGAGGCGAAATGGAGGGATGGGAGCGATACAGAGAAGATTAGCACGACCTCTGCGCAAGGATGATACACACAAATGAAAAAAAGGTCGGGAAAAAAAAAAAAAAA